GATCCAGCTCTCTGCTATGGCTGGGAAAGCAGGAGAAGACGGCCCAAGTCCTTGGGCCCCTGCACCCATGAGGGAGACCTGTAGGAAGCCCCTGGCTCCTGGCTTCAAATCAGCGCAGCTTCAGCCATTGCAGCCATCTGGGGAGTGAACCAGCAGATGGAAGACCTCTCTCTCTCTGTCTCTGCTTCTCTGTAACCCTGCCTTTTAAATAACTAATCAGAAAAAGAGAAAGAGAGAGAGGAAAAAAAAGGAAGGAAGGAAGGAGGGAAGGAAGGAAGGAAAGGAAAGGTGGGAGGGAGGGAGGGAGGACCATTTTCCACTGCTTTCTCAGGCACGGTAGCAAGGAGCTGGATCACAAGTGGAGCAGCCAGGACTCGAACCGGCATCCACATGGGATGCCAGCATCACTCAACAGCACCAGCCCCTGAGCCATGGATTTCTGAGTTTACTGATATTCTGGATGTGCAGATCAATGTCTTCCGTCAGATCTGGGACTTTCTATACATTATGTCTTCACATATTTTTTTCTTCCTTTCCTCTTCTCTCTGAGGCTCCTATTACATTCACGTTTCCATGTCTGACGGTGCCCAAAGGTCTCTACTCATTTTATTTCTCAGGCTGGAGACTCTCAATTGACCTATTTTCCTGTTCCCTGATTCTTTCTCTATCAGCTGTTGAGTTCCTCCAGTGATTTTTTTATTGCAATTATTTCATCTCATTTCTACTAAATAATTCCTACCTATTAATTTATATTCTCTATTTCATTTGACACTGTTTTCACACTGTCCTTTAATTCTTTTTAAATTATTTATTAATTTATTATAGAGACAGAGATACAAAGACAGAGAACTCCAATCTTCTAGTTCACTTCCCAAATGTCCACGACAGCCCCAGGCCCAGCCAGGGGCCACAGCTGGAGCTGGGAACTCATCCAGGTCTGCCCTGGGCGGCGGGAACGTCGGTCACGTGAGCCACCACTACGGCTCTGGCAGCAAACCGGAGTCAGGATCCGGGGCCGGGAATCAAACCCAGACACCCCAATATGGGACCTGAGCCCACTACCTGTGACGACGAGCACCCGCACCGTCCTTCAGTTCCTTAGCTATGAGTCCTTCCGTGGCTGGAACCACCTGCAAGTCTTTGTCTGCCAAGTCCAGCAGGGGAGCTTCCCGCAGTCCGCTTTCCTCTTAGCACAGACTCTTTTACATACATAACTCCCCTCTTTATTTTTAATGTTTATCCCACATACTTGAAAGGCAGAGTGACAGAGTGAGAGTGAGCAACAGAGATAGGTACCTTCTATCCACTGATTCACTCTCCAAATGCCCCAAGATCCAGAAATGAGCCATGCTAAAGCCAGGAGCCCAGAACTCAACGCATGTCTCCCACACGCGGGGCAGAGGCCCGAGCACTTGAGCCACCACCCGCTGCCTCCCAGGACGCGTTAGCAGCAACAGGGATGAGGAGGAGAGTAGCGAGGAAAGAAATCAGCTCTCTGACTGGGATGGGGGCACGCCGCACGGTGGTTCAAGCTGCTGCCCCATGACACCAGCCCTGAGGTGTATAATTGACACATAACTGCACACGTAGATGGGGCACAGCAGGAGAACTCGTGATGATCAAGGAAGAACACTTAGCATATTCATTTTCTATCGCTTCCTCGTGTCTGCAGCCTTCCAGCTCCTCCCCTCGGGTCCTTCTGGAAACATCCGTCACCCCCGTGAGCCACCAGCAGCGGCTCCAGGCCCTCTCCTGCACTGTGGGAGGCGTGAGCCAGTCTCTGCACGCACCCTCCCGCTCCCCTTCGCAGCTGCTAACGATCATTTTACTACTCCCTTTTTCTTCGAGATAAACTTAGCTCATCCCATTTCTCTATCTCATTACTGTGTTGTTGTTACTGAGAACATGACATTTAAAATAACATGCTGCAACTCTGGGAGCCAGATTCCCCGCTCCTCTAGAGGTTTGTTACTAAGCGACTTTGCGGAATTAATTCTATTTAGTCTATATTTTTAATCATGTGTGGGCACCAAAGCCTCTGCTCCGTGAGCTTAATGGCCTTCTAATGAACGGACTGAGATGTCCTTGAGCGCCTGGAGCCACCATCTCCCAGTGTCTGCCAAAGGGGCCTGCGTCTGGGGCACACAGCCAGTGCCGCAGCAGGTTCCCACTCTTCCTGAGACTCCCCTCCACCTGCCAGAGGTGAGAGACCAGGGCCTTCACAGGTCCTCCTTGTTACCCTCCCTGGGGCCTCCCAAAATGTTCATTAGGTCTCAGGCCTATGTGTTATTTTCAGCAGCCGCTCGGCCACTCTGCAAAATGTATTTTGACAACATCAGTTTACAGATGTAGCAACTGAATTACAGAGCTTGAGTAATTTGCACAAACTCTCACAGCTAGTCGTAAGGCAGGAGAACTGGGACTTGAACACAAATCGGTTATCACCCCAAAGTCAATATCCTTCCCCCAACACAAAATATCCCCTAGGTTTGCCAGCCAGGCTCTCCGGCCTCTGGAGACCATTCCAAGATTCACATCACTCAACTCATCTCTTCCCCTGATTCCCACCAAGTCACGTGTAACACGTTCTACAGTCCCTGGCCAGACTCTGGAAGGGTGGTGTGGGATTCACTGCCAGTCCACGCACTCACGGAAGTACTGCTAAGGAGCAGACCCAGCACGTTCCGCATGCTAACGGGGGTTCTACCACCCCCACTGCCACTGGCACCACATGACCCCAGCAGGGAAGTGTGCTATTCCCCCTAAATGAAAACAAAGTGCATTTTAACCTTTGACTGTAAAACAAAGTGCACACACAGACCGCATGCAGCCTAATGAACTATTACCTGGCCGGCATCCCCATAACGACCACCTTGGTCAGGAAGGAGAACTCTGCCAACTAACCCAGAAGCTCCTCCATGTGCTCCATCAACCCCAACTCTCACCCTCCCCCAAATCATCCAGATTTCTATAATCACTTCCTTGCATTTCTCTAGAGATGGAAGCCAATATACACACCCCTAGAACTAATAACTTAGTCTGTCCCTTTTATATAGCGTTAAAATGTGGTCTTTTGAATCTTTTTTTTTTTTTTTTGGACAGGCAGAGTGGACAGTGAGAGAGACAGACAGAGAGAAAGGTCTTCCTTTTCCATTGGTTCATCCCACAATGGTCGCTGCGGCTGGCGCACTGCGCTGATCCGATGGCAGGAGCCAGGTGCTTCTCCTGGTCTCCCATGCGGGTGCAGGGCCCAAGCACTTGGGCCATCCTCCACTGCACTCCAAGGCCACAGCAGAGAGCTGGCCTGGAAGGGGGGCAACCGGGACAGAATCCGGCGCCCCGACCGGGACTAGAACCCAGTGTGCCGGCGCCGCAGGCAGAGGATTAGCCTATTGAGCCACGGCGCTGACCTGTTCTTCTCTTGCCTTACAGCTTGCGGCCTACAGGACCCAGAAGTTTGACTTCTACATCCTCCCAGTCTGGATTGTGCCGAATGCACACCTGTGGTGCTTTTCACCTGCTCCTCCCTCTTCGTGTAATGAAAACAGGAGGCTGGACCCAGCGGCTGCTCAGACGCAGGCCTGAGCGCTACAGCTGTTCTTGCACAGCGGGTATACAAGATCTCATTGTCTCTGTTATAAAAGGACAGCAGCTAGGGCCGGTGCTGTGGCACAGCAGGTAAAGCCTCTGCCTGTGGGGCCGGCATCCCATATGGGTGCTGGTTCTAGTCCTGGCTGCTCCACTCTGATCCAGCTCTCTGCTAACAGCCTGGGAAAGCAGTAGAAGATGGCCCAAGTGCTTGGGCCCCTGCACCTGTGTGCAAGACCCAGAGGAAGCTCCAGGTTCCTGGCTTCTAATGATCCCAGCCCTGGTCATTGCAGCCATTTGGGGAGTGAACCAGCAGATGGAAGACACCTCTCTCTCTGCCTCTCAAATAAATAAATCTTTAAAATAATAATAATAAAAAAAAAGATAGCAGCCACTAATGCTGATTGCCTAGATCCGATACTTCACTGGGAGTTAGAAAACAGTGATGTTCTAGCATTTCTTTTTTATTTACTAACTGGGACACTTGTATTGGAAAATGTTTTCCCTCATCTGCTATGTGCTTAGCCACTATTACTTTCATTCAAAAGAGGCCGGCACCAGCACTGTAGCATAGCATGTTGAGCTGCTGCCTGCAGTGCCAGCATCCCATAGGGGCACCAGTTTGAGATCCGGCAACTCTGTTTCCAATCCAGCTCCCTGATAATGCACCTGGGAAAACAGAAGATGGCCCAAGTGCTTGGGCTCCTGCACCCACATGGAAGACTGAGATGAAGCTCATGGCTCCTGCCTTTGGGCCAGCCCAGTCCTGACCATTGTGGCTATCTGGGGAGTAAACCATCAATGGGAGATCTATCAATCTCTGTCCTTCCCTCTTCCCCTATTCCTTCTTCCCTTTCAAATAAACAAAAATTTTTTTGAAAAAATAATTTTAAAATACATCTCACCACTGCAGTTCCTGACACAATCTCCCCACACCTTGGTGCATATTTTAAAAGTCCTTAGCGTGGTCAATGCCATGGCTCACTTGGCTAATCCTCCACCTGTGGCGCCGGCACACCGGGTTCTAGTCCCGGTCGGGGTGCCGGATTCTGTCCCGGTTGCCCCTCTTCCAGGCCAGCTCTCTGCTGTGGCCCAGGAAGGCAGTGGAGGATGGCCCAGGTCCTTGGGCCCTGCACCTGCATGGGAGACCAGGAGGAGGCACCTGGCTCCTGGCTTCGAATCGGTGCAGCATGCCGACCGTAGCGGCCATTTTGGGGGTGAACCAATGGAAAAGGAAGACCTTTCTCTCTGTCTCTCTCTCTCACTAACTCTGCCTGTCCAAAAAAAAAAAAAAAAAATCCTGAGAATTTTTTTCAGATAAAAATTCTGGGAACAAAAAGCTTTAAAAATCTTACCACTTTCTGGAATGAAATAGGTGGAAAGAAGAGAAGACAGCTATGTTCTCCGCTTACCTCAAGCACTCTGAACAACTGGTATCTGATTTTGTAACTGGTCCACAAGACCATGAAAAAAGCATTCAGCGAGACGGTGCTGATCATAACGATCTGAAAGAGGCGACTCGTCACAACTCTCTTCACAAACGCGCGACACTGATCGTCTTTCCTCCTGGCAGGACGGTGGGAAGAGGCACAGTTACCACACAGCACAGCCAGACCCCACACAAGGCACCGCTGAGGGTCAGGAAGAGGGTCTGCTTTTCCCTCCCCCATGAACACAAGCCAGGTACACAGTCACCCTGGGGTAGCTCGGGGGTCACTGATCACCCACCCACCCGCCCATCAGTCCACGGACAACTCAGACTCTGCCACGCAGTGACCACAGCCGGCTGGCACTCCAGGTGTCTCTGGGTGGCTGTGATTACCTGCACTCCCCTTCCTCCCAACCGCAAAAGGCACTGAGGACAGCCTGCAGGCCTGTGTCTGGGTCTCCATCAATGGTAACTTCCTATAATAGATCTGTGTGCATTTCATAGCATAACTATAAGCCAGTCTATTTGCTACATATAGTTTATGGGTTCATGAGTTATCTATTTTTTTAGCTATTTCTACGCTATGTAGTTATTCTGTGAGTTTTCTCAAATTGCCACTAATTTCAAAAGAGGAATTCCCATAACAGTGGACTCATGTAGTTGAAACCCATGTTGTCCAAGGGTTGAGTTTACTGCTTTGAGATTTATTTATTTATTTACTTATTTGAAAGGCATAGTTACAAGAAAGAGAGAGAGAAGTCCTCTATCCACTGGTTCACTCCCCAAATGGCTGCAACTGCCAAAGCTGAGCTGATCCGAAGCCAGGAGCCAGGAGTGGGGAGCTTCCTCTGGGTCTCCCACATGGGTGCAGGGACCCAAACACTGGAGCCATCCTCCACTGCTCTCCCAGATGCGTTATCAGGGAGCTGGATTGGAAGTGGAGCCGCCAAGACTCGAACTGGCACCTGTCTGAATGCTGGAGCCACAGTGCTGGCCCCTTGAGTGTACTTCTAAATAGCAATGACATGCAGAGTAAGTGACTACTGAGATGTGCAGTGACCATCAACAATCTGCCCTCACTCAGTCACTCAGGTCCCTCTGCTGGACCTCGGGGGTGGGGGGGCAAAAAAAGTCACCACTCCTCAAGCAAAACAAAGCAGCTTCTTCATTTACACTCAACAAAGCTCCAAGTGACTTCAACATGCCAGGCGACACAGTGACCCAAACCAAACACGGCCAGTCCAGGGAGGAAAAGCTGACCAAAAATAATCACCCACACAAATGCTTGTAAGTCAATCATTAAGAAAAAAAAAGGTAAACAGTCAATTCAAGAAAGAAATACAAACGGCCAATGAACGCCCCCCTGCCTTGCAGTTAACAATATTAATCTGGGGACATGCAACACAGACTCATCATTCTTGCTTACGCAATGCGCAGACAAACATGGTCCCCATCAGTGATGGCCTGCGTGTGGCTGGGGCGGGGGCAGGGCGGGGGGGGGGGCTACCAGCACCAGCCAGGGATGGAAGCTGCCCAGCTTTTTTGAAAAGCCTCAGAACTGCCCACAGCCTCTTCCCCAGAGAGCCCACCTTGAGGGCACACAACCCAGCACGCAGTGAGGCTGCATGAAGATGGTTATCCCAGCACGATTTACAGCGGGGACTTGGAAACAATGCAAAAGTCTAACCAAAATGCCTGGTGAAGGAAATGGTGGCATCTCCACTTCATTAGACACAGACACCAAAATAAACCTGTACGCTGATCATGATTCAGTTTATGACCCACTGGAGAGGAAAACACAAAACAAGACACAAGATTCTCTGTTCAGGGCCATTGCCGGCAACACCAGCACCCCACATGGGTGTCAGTTGTAGTCCCGGTTGATGCACTTCTGATCCAGCTTCCTGCTAACTCACCTGGGAAAGCAGCCGAAGATGGCCCGAGTGATTGGGCTCCTGCACCCACGTGCAAGACCTGATTGAAGCTCCTGGCTCCTGGCTTCACCCTGGCCCAGCACTGACTGTTGGAGCCACTTGGGTAGTGAACCAGCAGAAAGATCCCTCTCTCTGTCTCTTGCTCCTTCTCTATAACTCTGACTTTCAAATAAATAAATAGATCTTGAAAAAAATTTCTCGGGCCGGTGCCACAGCTCACTAGGCTAATCCTCTGCCTGTGGCACCAGCACCCCGGGTTCTAGTCCTGGTTGGGGCACCAGATTCTGTCCCGGTTGCCCCTCTTCCAGTCCAGCTCTATGCTGTGGCCTGGGAAGGCAGTGGAGGATGGCCCAAGTGCCTGGGCCCTGCACCTGCATGGGAGACCAGGAGAAGCACCTGGCTCCTGGCCATTGGGGGTGAACCAACGGAAAAGGAAGACCTTTCTCTCTGTCTCTCACTGTCCACTCTGCCTGTCAAAAATAAAATAAAATAAAAATTTCTCTCTTCAGGGGGTCGGCACTTTGGCATGGTAGATTAAGCCTCCACCTGCACTGTCACCATTCTATACAAGCACTGGTTCTAGTCCCGGCTGTTCCACTTCCAATCCAGCTCCCCGCTCATGCCTGGGAAAGCAGTGGAGGATAGCCCAAGTGCTTGGGGCCCTGTTTCCACGTGGGAGACCCAGAAGAAGCTCCTGGCTTCGGTCTAGGCAGCCCCAGCTGCTGGGATCACCTGGGGAGTGAACCAGCAGATGGAAGATATCTCTCTATTTCTCTATCTCTTCCTCTCTCCTTTTCAAATAAATCTTTTTAAAAATTCTCTACTCAAAATCATCTCACTTATATAAAAATGTCAAGGAAAAACTCAGCAGGAAACAGGCCAAAATGCTGACATGTCTGCCTGCGGATGGCGAAGCTCCAGGTGATCATTTTTCCTACGTGTTTATATTTATCTGCGCTTGGCAATTTTTCTCAAAGAAGATGTTATTTTTCCTAATATATCTAAGAAATGAATATAGTCTCATTACAATTAAAAATACAAAACATACATTGACCATGAATACAATGTAATTTTCATGATCTAAGATGAGGTCTATTGCCAAACACACACAAACGGCTTCAAATTATCTAACACAGTAGCTAATACAAAAGGATAAAACTGAACCAAAGCAGCCACTGGGTGTCCAGGTCGAGCAACAGTGGTCGCCACGTTGGGAAGGGGTGAGAGGTCAACGCCGCTCTGCCTCCACGGCCATCTGCAGCTCTCTTAGCAAGCAGGGAAACAGAAAGATATTTACTTAAACTTCCTGAACCGCGTATAAAACGCCAGCGACGCAGTGTCCAGCAGTGAACTAGAGACGACCCGCAAATGGTTCCGGCGAAAGACTTGAGACATTGTCCCAATTTGCCGTTTTTATTCCTCGCTTTTATAATCCAGCAGAAATTCTGCTTAGAGATTCCCTCTGCGTCTGGATTCCGGGAGGCAGCAGAGAGGAATCATGCTTTATGAGGTCACTCTCGGCCATTCCAGCAGGTGACGGGGCCTGGAGATGGAGCGCCGGGCCCCAGAGCTAGGAAACACCACAGAGAGGCCACACAGAGGCCCTCTCTTCTTCAAGTGCCCCCATCTCACAGCCAGAGGCCTAGAGGTCACTGGGGTCCGTGCTGTGGCATAGCAGGTAAAGCTGCCGCCCGCAATGTCAACATCCCGTATGGGTGCCGGTTCGAGTCCCAGCTGCTCCACTTCCAATCCAGCTCTCTGCTATGGCCTGGGAAAGTATAAGTTGGTCCAAGTCCTTAGGCCCCTGCACCCATGTGGGAGACCCAGAAGAAGCTCCTGGCTCTTGGCTTCTGGCCGTTGCGGCCAACTACGGAGTGAACCAGCGGATGGAAGACACCTCTCTCTCTCTCTCTCTCTCTTTCCGCTTCTGCCTCTGCCTCTCCTTCTCTCTGTGTGTAACTCTGACTTTCAAATAAATAAATCATTAAAAAAAAAAAAAGTCAAGGCATCATGTAAGAGCGAAAGGCAACAGGCCCCAAATCCAGGGCACAGCAATGGAAGCGCCGTGAAGCACAAGGAAAGATCACAGAGTGGGTTTGGGGCTCGAAAAAAGCAAGAGGAGGAGCAGAGAAGCGACATTCACATGTGCCGCCCTGGGTGACCAGGTCCTGGCTGTGTGCACAGCACCACCAAAACAGACAGCAAGGCAGCGTCTGGAAGCAAGCAGGTGCTTCCGAGTAAGGGCCAGAGGGTTACGTGAGCAACTTAAACCTGTAAAACTTGTAAGTTGTATTACTCTTTGGCTGTGTTTTTATTATATTCTCCTCTTTCTTCCTAACCTCTTTGGCTTTCAAGGCAAATCAAGACAGAGAAAGCGGGCGACAGTGCTGTGGCAGAGTGGGTTAGGCTGCCACCTGCAGTGCAGGCATCCCACATGGGAGCTGGATAGGAGTCCTGGCTGCTCCATTTCCAATCCAGCTCCCTGCTAATGCACCTGGGAGAGCAGTGGAGGATGTCCCAAGTGCCTGGGCCCCAGCACCAACATGGAGAACCAGAAACTCCTGGCTCCTGGCTTCAGGCACAGACCTGGCTGTTCCAGCCATCTGGGGAGTGTAGCAGTGGATGGAAGATCTATCTCTTCTATGTATCTCTGTAACTCTGCCTTTCTAATAAACACATAAATAAATCTTTAAAAAATAAAGGTAGGGGGGGTGGCCGGGCAGCCCTGTGCTGTGGTAAAGGTTTCGCTGAGTTGGTCAGCATTCTGGAAACCAACGTGTCGGGTCCCAAGAGGAAGAGCTAACCACGCTCTCACCTCTGCTCTTCCTCATGTCCTAAAACCAGCCACGCGGCCATTTCCCGAACACAACCAACACACACCGCACGGGGATCTGATGATCAACAGCAAACTATCAATCACTTGGATTAACACCCCCAGACCCAAACCTGAACCCTATCTTCTCCCTCTTCCTTCTCTCCCTTGGAGCAGCTTGCGCTCCCAAGGCCTGCGTCGCTCACACGGCCCCTGAGGTTTCTGGACCTCCTGCCCCACATGCCCAGACTGGCCTCCCACAGCAGCTGCTCGCCAAGAGCCTGGACCAGCTCGCACCTCCCATCCCGCCTGCCCCACAGCCAGCACGTGGATGAGGTCCTGAGTACGGGTGTGCTCTACAGATTCCCACGTGCCTGGCCCCAGGGACGGTCCCACAACCCCAGGGGGCTGAGCAAGGTGGGACAGCATCTCCGGGAAGCCCAGTGGTCAGCTCCCGGATCTTCCCTCTTCCAGCAGCGAAGCACAGCTACAGGGAAACACAGGGGCGATGAGAATCATCAGGCACTGCTTCCCGATGACCGCAGGCTGAAGGGGGACGGCAGGGAGGAGCCCAGCAGCTCTCAGCCACGGCAGCACGGCCAGCTATGTGGACTTCGGTTTCCGAGGGCCCTGAGCCACACGTGCAGTCTGGGCCTGGAGCTGCAGCTGGGTGAGCAGGCAGGAATCAGAGGCGACAGCCTATCCAGGGTCCACTGCAATCATCCGCGTCTCCTCACAACAGTGGGAGAAGCCCAAGGGCTACGCCTCTGCCCTTCCAGCAGCGATGCCCACTGTGCCCACCCGGGCTGCAGCACCTGAGCCACGGCCAGGGGAAGGCGGCAGGCACGGCTGTATGGTCTTCCAGTCTCAGTCACTGTTTCACAGCCCCAAGTCGCTGCCTTGGAGACACCAAGCTCACATGTTACAGCAAACCCTATCGCAGCGGCTACTTTGCTGCTGATCAAGAGGCAACCTTGCTTCCTACGTCTTACCGACATCAGAAAGAACCATCGCGGCGAGAACGTGCACCGGCTTCATTTCAGGAAAGGACGCCGCCCAGCACGGGTCATGCTGCAGTCAGCGGAGGTCGCGCAGAGTCCCAGGTCGCGTCTGCTTAGTTCCTCTCTACTCAGGCGGTCGCTTAGGAAGAAACTGGAGGGAAAAGAAAGTTTACCACACCAGAGACGCCACCGTCATCGCCCAGAGATTCGGAACAGACGGGAACATCGGGGCCCCCAACTCTGACGACGTCTCTCTGAGGACGAAAAGGCAGTCACGAGAAGCAAGTCTGGGGCCGCCTTCTGTGGGAAGGTACCACAGCGTGTACTTCTGCGGGCTTCTGATATGCCATCTCTGACTCTCTGCTGGGACGCGTGTGAACCCCAGCACGTGCATTCCCCTCCACACGACCCAGCGTCAAACCCTCATGGAGACGCTAAGCAGTCACCGCGCTTCCAGTCCTCTGCGTGGGTGATGAGCCGCATCCTGCAGTCTCCATTGAGCACACGTGAGACACCTGTTAACGCCATCAAGTATAGTCCCTGAGACCAACATTCAAAATGGGGAGGAGGGCTGTACTCAGGGTTCAGCGACCAGTGAAATAACAACACAGGGGAGCCAACAAGCACACGCAGAAGGGGACCAGCACCCCAGGTCTCCCAGCAAGCCAGCTCCGTGTTAAGGTAACCTGGCTTCTCCAGACTGAGCGGGCGTGAAGGGGCAGTGTGACCAGACGGACAGGCGGATGTCACAGGAAGCCTGATGACAACAAGATCACTGCCCAGACGAGGTCCTGACCCAGAGGCAACCTGGTTTCGCCACAGTGTCAGGTGGTACCGAAGAATCGTGGTTTCTGTTGTTAGGTGGGATAACGGCATGGCGGTTTACACAGGAAAATGACCATGCCTTTTAGAGAGAAGACATGCTGTCGGGTTTGCTTTTAAATACATTTGCAAGGAAAAGTGAAAACAGGGGGACTATAGGAAGCAACCGGGGCAAACATCCTGGCAATTATTCCACTGATCGGGGCGAGCAGTCCAGAGGGCTCAGTGCACTACTCACCCTGCTTCTGAGTACATCCACATTCTTTCATGTTTAAAACGATTCATATCTTTGGAAATAAAATGTGAAATTTCCAGATCCAAGGACACGGAGCTTTGCCTTTTCTTTGACAAAAATTCTGAGAAACAGAACTTGGAGTGTTGGGCTCCAAGCCCCGGGCTGCCCGAGGGCCCGGGGGCTTTTCTCCCTTGCCCACTGCAGTCTGAGGACCCTGGGCACAAGCCAACTGGGCCCGCCCCTCTCGGCTAACAGAAGCAGCCCCCGCGTCACGTTCCCACCTGGTGGCTCCGGATTGGGGCAGGGCAGGCTGGGTGGGGAAGGCTTGCTTCTGGTCCCTCAAGAGGGGTGTACTACAAAGATGACCCCTGTTCCGTTCTGAGGCTGCAGACTCTCAATTCAGGGGTCACAACATGCACATAATGAAAACCGACGGCCCGCAGCTCCTCCCCTCAGCGTGTGCAGTGACGGCCTGGTGAGCGCTGCCAGGGCACTGGGTCCTTCTGCACAACTCCCAGAGCCAAGGGCAAGAGCGCTGTCTTCCCCTTCACCCCCGTCTTGCAAGTCAAAGTCACACACTGGGATGGCTCAGCCGACATTTTTTACTTCTGTGATCTAATTAATTACTTAAGTAGACACAGCAGCTACCATTCAAACGTGAGCTTCACGAGAACTGATGTATACAAAGTTAAAACCCACCATCTGCAGAGTTAATTCTTTGCCCACCTTCCAGCTGTGCTCCAACACCATGCATTTGTACAGTCTTGATCATTCTGAATTTCTAAGTTACAAAATGTGTGAATACTTCCCTATCTCAGTTTCATACCTTAAAGGATGCCACTTCTCTTTATGAATATTACTAATATAATCACCTGGGTTAGTTTTTCTTCTGTATGTGATCAGAGAGGGTGAAAAATGCCTCAGGATCAGGTTTCAATTATTTTGTATTTAGGCACTGATTGTTCAAATGTTGTATACAGGCAGGGAGTTTACAATTTAATTTGTTGGCATAAGCTGTCTCTGAAACACACGGCAGCTAAGACGTGCATCAGACTGCACACACGCTCTAGAAGAAATCACACGGAAGCAGCTGCTTTCTCAATGAACTTGGCCAGCTTCACATCTCTTCGGGTGAGTCCCCCACGGTCATGCGAGGTGAGAGTTATCTGCACCTAGGAAAGAAGAAGGTAGTTTTTAAAGCCCTGAGCGGCAGTCCTTGGGTGGCTCAGAGGTCAATCTATTACTCAACATTCATGTCTGAGAACTGAGAGGATTCAATGCTTTAGAAAAGACTACACCATGAAATGGAACTTCATGAAGAATGGGATGGGAGAGGGAGCAGGAGGTGGGTGGTTTGGGGGTGGGAGGGTGGGTATTAGGGGAAGAACTGCTATAATCTACAAGTTGTACTTATGAAATTTGTATTTATTAAATAAAAGCTTTATATTAAAAAAAAGAAAATACTACATCATGAGTACACACAGCATTTCTTTTTTTTTTTTTTTTTTTTTTGACAGGCAGAGTGGATAGTGAGAGAGAGAGAGAGAAAGGTCTTCCTTTACTGTTGGTTCACCCTCCAATGGCCGCCACGGCTGGTGCGCTGTGGCTGGCGCACCGCGCTGATCCAAAGGCAGGAGCCAGGTGCTTCTCCTGGTCTCCCATGGGGTGCAGGGCCCAAGCACTTGGGCCATCCTCCACTGCCTTCCCTGGCCACAGCAGAGAGCTGGCCTGGAAGAGGGGCAACCGGGACAGAATCCGGCACCCCGACTGGGACTAGAACCCGGTGTGCCGGCGCCGCTAGGTGGAGGATTAGCCTATTGAGCCGCGGCGCCGGCCCCACACAGCATTTCTAAAACGTGGCAGACTCCAAGGACACAGCAGGTGCCCAGGGATAAAAAGGCTTGAGAGACAACTCAGCTGCCAGAACCTCAACTGCTGTCTTATAGAAAATGGGGTGCGGGGGTGGGGGAGACTGAGATTCTGCTTTAATTCCCATTATTTTAATTATACCAACTATTTTCAGGCTGCAAAGGAAAACCAGACTATCAACTAGATGTGATGTTAAAAAGGTACATTTCCAAATGGGGGGGGGGTGGGTGTTGGCAAGGAGCACAATGTTGCAGGTTGACAAGTCAGCTACAAGAAAAGAAAACCTTGGGGCCTGCAATGTGGCACAGCAGGTAGAGCCACCGCCTGCAGTGCCAGCATCCCATAAGGGCGGGCGCAGTTTGAGTCCCAGCTGCTCCACTTCCAATCCAGTGCTCTGCAACAGCTAGGGAAAGCAGCAGAAGTCCTTGGGCCCCGGCACCTGCTTGGGAGACCTGAAAGAAGCCTGGCTTCAGATCAGCCCAGCTCCAGTCATTGCAGCCACTTAGGGAGTGAATTAGTGGATGGAAGACTGACTGACTGACACTCACTCTCCCACTCTCTCTCTCTCTCTCTCTCTCTCCCTTTGCCTCTCTGTAACTTAGCCTTTCAAATAAACAAATAAATCTTTAAAAGAAAAAAAAAAAGGAAACTATGCACCGAGAGAAGCATCTGGGAAAGAAGTTCACCCTGTACCAGGGTGCTCTGAATTATGCCAATAAATCACGAGACCATCATGAAATCTCTCATTTTCCAAGAGGACTACCAGCGAGAAAACAGAAACTCAGGGAAGCTGGGATGCTCAGACGCACCACGTGGCGTGACCGTCACAGCAGGGACACTCTGGGGTCATGATGCTTCCCACCAGGTCCCCTCCAACTCCTCAGTCCGCCCTTTTTTCTTAAGAAAGGAGGCCAGCTCCTGCTGAGGATCAGAATTTAACGGCTGCTATTCAAGGTTCTGAAGCAGATTCGTCTCATTGCGATCCACAGGGCCACGCTGACTCTATCTGCTACCACTTCTTTCAACAGTTTACCTGAAGTTTGAAACCTTGTCTGCGTAACTGATGTTCCGGCTCCATTCAAGAGCCTGACCAGGCTCAGCATCCTCCTGTCACTGCCAGCGGGGGACGAGCACGGAAACACAGAGCTTCTGCATCGTCCTTATGAGCGGGCGTCAGAGGAGGAGCGAAGCACACGTTCTCAGGCACAGCGACTCAGCTGCACACGGAGACAAGCGAGCAGCAAGTTTCCTAAGAGCCCTAATTCAGGTGATCCCAGAAGGCGACGGAGTTACCTTGTTGTACACATTGAACCACTCCGGGTGATGGTTCATCTTCTCTGCCTGCAGGGCCACTCGGGACATGAAGCCGAACGCCTGGAGAAGAACAAGCCAGGGTAAGCACCGCCAGCGCCCCCGCCCGCCAGTGCCAACCAGGGCCGGCCGCGCCAGGGGCCTCGGGAGCCTGGGGGACGCCACCTAGGGAAGCACTGCTCGCTGCAGGCCCAGAGGCACCGCGTAGCAGGGCTCTGACCTGCTGCTCCGCGGTGAAAAACAGTCGGGCTCAAATAAACAAACCAGGAAATTGGTCTCACCCACTGACCTGTCTGGGCTGCTTAATTGTCCTCAGGATGGGAGTCTCCTAAACAGCACGGGAACAATTTCCCCTCAGCCCAGAGCCCTGGGTCTCAGCACCCGGCCACGAAGCCTGAGAGCCACTCTCCTTGTAGCCTTGTTCCTTTTGTTTTCAGTGATGGGGTGGATGGCCAAGGCGTCAGCCAGAGGACCATGGCAAAGGCCTGCTGGGTGCACCCGGAGCGCGAGCCCTGGGGAGTGGGCACCGCCCCGCCCTCCTCTCCAGGTGCCTTCACCGCCACACGGAGCGCAACACAGAAGCCGACCTGCCCCTCAGGGTCTCCTTGCTGCTGCCCTGCTTTGCTGGAGGGGTGACAGTGACCCGGAGCGGGCCGCGGGACAGTGGGAGCATGCTCTCGTCAGGCAGAAGGCAAACTCACTCTGCCAGGGAGAAAAGTTTTTTTAAGGTTTTTTTTTCCCTTTCTTTCCAATTTGAATGAGTGTTGAGTTGCCAATAGGAACATCTGTGTCCTGCGTCCAGAAGGCAGAATTACTCGGTGGGACTCCAGGCTGACGGCACACTCACGACAAAGCTCCAGGGGCACTCAAGGAAGTACCTAAGACATTCACAAAAATAAATATTTAGCTCGTGATACCCATCCAGCAAAAGCAGCACAATGCTAGCTGGGCTATGCTTTCTGGACCACCAGCCGTCAAGAGGGAACACTCCCTGGTCCACACGAGAAACGGGGGAGGTATCACTTAAAATAATTCTGCGTCTGTCGTTACGGTTCCTGTGTCTGGGCCAGCTGTACTTGGGATGAAGACTTCCATTTTGACATTTAAGGCCTGAAGGTGTTCCCTCTTAGGAAAAGGAGCAAAATACACTTAACCACGCATGGAATCATCTGTGGAAAAACAGCATTCACTCTCCCAGGCCTTTTCCACTGGACAATCTGATGCTACAAATTATGTGAAAGGAAGGACAGGTCAGATACGAAAGTCTGCTTTAGTTATTCAAACACGGAGTCAGGGCACGAAATGATGCAGAATGAGCATTTCTGCTCTGCCTGCAACACCCTGCGAGTCTCAGCGCCATCACACGGTCATCAGGGCAGGGCCTCTTCAGCCAGCAGTCCTGGACTCAAATCCTGTCTCTACCACGTAACTGCCATGTGACTTTACTCTGAGCCTGTGTTCCTATCATAAATGGGAGTGGTACCGAGCAACCCACGTGATCATTCTGCTAAAAGACGAGGGAGGCAAGCGTGTGGGTGCCTGGCACAGCTAAGAGGCCACGGCGCTTCTGGCTGAGCTGCACAGGGTAGTGCTAACGAGGCACGCTCAGAGGTAAGCCCTCCCACAGGTGAGAGCATCTAACACGCCGCCTGCTGCCTTCCCTGTTCCGGTTCTGCCGTGGACAGAAAGAAACCCACACATACGTGCCACACACACCGGTGATGTGCTGTGGGTAACATCCCCGATGCACACTGGGGAAAACGGTTTCCCACTGGCAAGAAATCACGTGGGCACAGTCACTGCCCGAGTTCCCCAGCCCTGCAGCCACAAGGTCTTTGCACATGTCACACCGAAAGTCCAGAGCAGTGCCTAGAATCCTTCCCACTTCCCAGAAGCCAAATGGAGCAGGGAACAACCTGAACACAGCCAGCAGTGCTCCTGCAGCCTCTAACCACCAGCACACACGCTGCCAACACAGCAGCAGAATCTCCTCCACTGCAGCAGGCACAGTGTTCAAAGGAAAGGCATTACCATAGCCACACACAATCCACCAAACGCACGTATCCAAATCCGGATGCCCCCCAGCTCTGTGGACCCCCCTTCGGCTGCTACCCAACATTCACATCTAACAAAATATCACGAACCCTGATAAACCATGTTCACGGGATTCACTCCTAATTTTTCCTCAGGGAAAAGAACACTCCATCTGCTCTGGGAGCAGAGACAATTCCATAATCCTCCTTCTATTTAATGGAACCAGATAATCCCCAAAATATTTATTTTTAAATTTACAAATTAAAAACATCCATAACTATACACGTTCAAATTAAAGTAGAAGAACCACTGCAAGGAATACAGATGAAAGGAGAAGAGCGAAGCTTCAAAGGGAATTCTGATTTCTGGAAGACAATGCAGAAGGAACAGGGCCAACTGGCTGACCCAGCGGATGATGAAAGCATTTGTCCTTTCCTTCTAAGATTTATGTTTATGGCCCTAACCACTTGCTCACTAGGATGCCAGTTGGAATCTAAAGGCCTTGAGGCAGGCCCGGCGTTGTGGACAGGGGCTTAAGCTACCGCCTGGAGGCCAGCATCCTATGGGCACCACCAGTTTTTGTCCCAGCTGCTCCACACTTACAATCCAGCTCCCTGCTGAAGGTGGGCCCCTGCCACTGACATGGAGACCAGGATGAGGTTCCTGTCTCCTGGTTCTTGGCTTCAGCCTGGCCCAGCTGTCGAGGCCACACAGGGAGTGAACCAACGGAGAGAAGTTCTCTCTGTCTCTCTCCCTCTGTGTGTGTATGTGACTCTTTCAAACAAATAAATATTTTTTAACAAAAACAAAGAAAAAGGGGCTGGCACTGTAACACAGTAGGTTAATCCTCTGCCTGCGGTGCTGGCATCCCATATGGGCACCGGTTCTAGTCCCAGCTGCTCCTCTTCCCATCCAGCTCTCCGCTATGGCCTGGGAAAGCAGTAGAAGATGGCCCAAGTCCTTGGGCCCCTGCACCCACGTGGGAGACCCAGAAGAAGCTCCTGGCTCCTGGCCGTGGATCAGTGCAACTCCGGCCATTGTGGCCACCTGGGGAGTAAACCAGCAGACAGAAGACCTTTCTGTCTCTCCCTCTTACTATCTGTAACTCTACCTCTCAAATAAATTAATTAATTAATTTAAAAAAAGAAGAAAAAGGCCTGAGGTAGCTAAAAGTGCAGGCTTTCGAAAACCATTCATGGAAGCAAGCTGGAAATAGTCCTCGGCAAAATATCCCTGACAAGCCAGCAGTGGCTCGGAGGACAGGCTAGAGAACATGTGCACAATGAAACAGAGATCAAGACTCCAGAACAATTCAAAGACAACAAATGCACAGGAGAAACAAGGAGGTCTAACACAGAGAGAACTGCTGTCAGTATAAAGAACAAAAAAGACAGACCAGGAAAACCTGGAGCTTCAACCAAAGAAGAACTTCCAGAAATAAAACACTTAAGTCTACAGGTTGTAAGAATACAACCACATTTACACATCACAGGAAGAGGGTGATGCCAGAATCCTTTCTGGATCTGGTCCCAAAGACCAAGTCACCTACCAGGATGACCAAGAACCCGTCAACTTCAAACTTCCACCTGCCAACAACCAACACGAAGTCAGAAGAGCAATACCAACCAAGACTTTAGGAATGTGGCCAGTGCTCTGGCAAAGCAGGCTAAGCCTCTGCCTGCAGCACCAGCATCCCATACGGGTGCCAGTTCATGTCCCGGCTGCTCCTCTTCCTATCCAACTCTCTGCTGTGGCCTGGGAAAGCAGTGGAGGATGGCTCAGGTGCTTGGGTCCCTGCACCCACATGGGAGACCTGGAGAAAGCTCCTGACTCCTGGCTTCAGATAGGCCCAGCTCCAGCCACTGAGGAGTTAGCCAACGTAATTCTGCCTCTCAAATGAATAAATCAAATCTTAAAAAAAAAAAAGCTTCAGAAAAAAAAAAAAAAACAGAATTTTATACCCAGCTAAAAAAAAATGTTCACAATTAAATGTAACACACAGACATTTCAGAAATCCATGGAATGATTTCCATTCTTCCTTTTTGAGAAAACTGCTAAGAGATGAACTGTAAATACTAAGAGATGAATGGAGAAACTATACAAAAGAATCTATGGTGAGCAGTAAGCCCATTCAGCTCTAGGAGTACATTTAAAACAACTGCAGGGATTACAGCTATGGAATGGAATGTAAATGTTATCAATACCAAAGGAGTGGAAAGAAAGAGAGATAGAAATACAGAAGGCAGATGAAAGTAAAACACAATCTTTGAAAGCTGAAAGATCTAGGTTTAGACATAAAAGTTTATTTAAAGGTACAAAACATAAGCACTAGAATTAAAAAAGAACGTACACTACAACGAAACAGCGACAGAGATGTAGAATAAAGTAGGAGTATAATCTGGATGCTACTCATAGGAGATCACAAATGCTATCTAAGAAACAGGACTAAATCTAAAACTGCAGGTTCAACAGTATTTATGAGAACCAAAATAAAAATATAAGCACTACCAGTTACATATAGGGAAACACAGTGAAAATGTAACAAAGAAAACACAACCCACATCGTGACCTCCAACACGGGAGAGGGACAGGCATTTAGAGTGGTTAAGACACGGGCTAGGATGCCCACATCAGAGCACCTGGGTTCCATCCCTGGCTGTAGCTCCTATTCCAGCTGATGCACACCCTGGGAGGCAGTGACGGCTCAAGTAATTAGGTTCCTGCTACCTACCTGGGAGACCTGGACTGCATGCCTAGCTCCTGGCTTCAAATGTTCCAGCTACTGCAGGCATTTGGGAAATGGAACCAGTCGATGGGAGGTCCCTTTCTCTCTGTCTCTCTGACTCTCAAATACATGAAAACATAGTATTAAAATAAAGAAAAAAGGCCTGCGCCGTGGCTCACTAGGCTAATCCTCTGCCTTGCGGCGCCGGCACACCGGGTTCTAGTCCCGGTCGGGGCGCTGGATTCTGTCCCGGTTGCCCCTCTTCCAGGCCAGCTCGTGCAGTGGAGGATGGCCCAAGTGCTTG